CAGCCGCTAAGCCGGCGCGAAATGACCCTCCACGCAGTCGTATTTTGGGTCATATGACTCCGTACGCCACTTTGACCGGCCCACATTTGTCCCCCAGCGTCCACCGTCACCAAGCCGACCACAAACCCTCTCCCAAACACTGATCATGAGAGTCATCGAGAAGACCCCCCTCGCCCAGCTGAAGATGCAGCAGACGTGGAAATCATTGACCTTTGTGATAGCGACAACTCCGAAATGAGAAACTAAAAGTGAAGTTGAGTTCTTTGAGTACTTAATAGAGCTTAGGAGCAGTAGGTATCATCATGATCAGTGATGCAGGTATATTGTAATTAACCTATTTGAATTACAATATAACTCATCACTTGGTCGTACATTGATGTACTGATCAATGACAGGATGTCTGACTTGATGTACTCTCACAAATTATATAACTGATACAATCAGTTGTTATGATACTACCTGGTTCTTCACTGGTGTTCCTGACAATTTACCTAGTACGCGAAATTATAGCTGAGTCTCGCCTTGCTTTCGGCGATATTGCGTTGCCGTGTGCTCATGAAACTAGGCCAAGCATCTAAACGATGAAAGTAGGTACACCCCCAAAGTATCACGTCGATACCTGACCTGCAGGCCGAGTGCTGTCCAAGTTCTCCTCTGACTGTCACCCCACTGATGGCGTCGATATAAACGCAATTTTTAGGTAAATAGTTTGAGCACTGTAAAACTCAAACATTATCTTTGATAAGTTGATTTGATGCAACGTTGGGGCGAAAAAATGCCTGCAAATTTTACTGTATAAAAAGATTCGATAAAACCTGATTGATAAACCGAATATCAGGTATAATGCGTAAACATATCCGCATCTCAACATATCGAGAGCAATGGGTGTGCCTCGTTGATATGGGGTACATTGGTATTGCCAACACTATGCGTGGGATCCATCCCAAGCGCCTCCCAGTGTAGGCTGCGTTGGATGCTAGTGACATTGAGCGCTATCGCTTGATCTCATCCGATCGGGTGATCGTCGAGAATTATTTTGGGCGGGTGTGTGCGTTGTGGAAGGCCACGTACGCGTCGGTCACGTGGTCGGCGAAGAACTATTGTGCTATTCAACGCACGACGTTTGCCCTGATGAACTTTCACCTGTCGTTGATGCCCCTACGTCTTGAAGACGAAACCTTTTATGGAATGGTCTTGGCGCGTTACGAAAGGATGGCAAATGAAAAGAAGCGTAAGCGTGCTGAGACGCAGCGCCGCTATCATTTGAATCGACAAGAGAGAGCTGCATTGGACTTGGGTCGAGCTACCCGCAGTCGTTTGTACTAACAGTAATACAACTTGATTTGATACGATAGTTTGTGAATTTTCAGTCATTCAAGTTTTCATCAGTAACTCAGTCACTTCAGAATTTACACTATTTTAACTCAAAGAGGTATCACTGATCATTTGCAAGGTTGTTTCGTTTTAGTGCATCGACTGTTACAAATAAATGTAACTTTCGAAGTGAGTGGATCATATTGTTTTTATCTCTGTTAAATTGTGTAATAGGTAGCTACTGGGTGACTGCCAAATATCTCGCAAGTGCCTCTCGCAAACAAATTTGCGAGTCCGGATAACGTGTATTTTTTTAACCGACGTCGATGGGTGGCAATCGAGGCACTCCACGACTTGGCTCGACCTGCCTTCGTTACCCGGTGAGATTGCGAGAAAATTTGTGCACGATGCCAAAGCCTTTGAAAATGTATTTCGATCAT